CAGCAGCGCGCCGCTCCTCACTCCTCCTCGTTTCCTCCTACCACTGCTCCTCTGCAGACCCTGCACATGGACGTGTGGGGCACCCCCCGCGTCACTGGACAGGGTGGCAAGCACTAATTTCTGCTGGTTGTCGACGACTACACGCGCTACACCACAGTCTTCCCCTTGCAGAGCAAGACGGATGTCCGCGGTGTCTTGATCCGCTGGATCCGCGCTGTTCGTTGCCAGCTTCGCGCTCGGTTCCGTGAGGACCTCCCAATCCTGCGGCTGCACTCTGACCGAGGTGGTGATTTTTGCTCCCTCTTCCTCGAGGACTTCTGTAGTGCTGAGTGCATCGTACATGCTTCTGGCCTCTCCACAGCAGAATGGGATTGCCAAGCGCCACATTGGTCTTGTCATGGAGGTTGTTTGCACCTCCATGATCCATGTGGTTGCTCCCCATTTTCTGTGGCCATTTGCGGTCCGATACGCCGCTGAGCAGCTCAAACTCTGGCCCCGGGTCTCCCACCCAGAGACCTCCCCCACTTTGCGGTGGACGGGCAAGGTTGGTGATGCGTCGGCGTTTCGGGTCTGGGGTTCCCTTTCTCTTGTCCGCGATTTGCCTACGGGCAAGCTCTCTCCACGCACTCTTCGGTGCGTGTTCCTTGGCTTTCCCACCGACGCACCACCCTAGCAGTTTTACCACCGGGGCTCTCGCCGTATGCTGCCCTCCCGCGACGTCACCTTTGACGAGTCTGTCTGCTTCTACCGTCTTCACCCCCACCGCAGTTCCCCGGTACCCATCCCGCCTCTCTCCCTAGTGGACGACCCCCCCCCCCCCCCCCCCCCCCCCAGTAGCCCCCCTCCCTCCTCCTGGTCCCGCTCCCTCAGGTGTGTCTCAGGTAGACCCACCCCCCTTGGTTGAGCCTTTGGTGGTCTCCTCAGACACCTCTGGCCCAGCTGAGGGGGGTGACCAGTCTGCTACCGACACCGTGACCCCTCGCCGCTCCGCACGCTTGGCGGTCCCTCCTGGCTTTCCGCCTCGACCGTTTTCACCGCCTCTGCAGCCCGTCGTTGTGGACTCTGGTGCTGCTGGAGGTGGTGACACTGGGGGTGCAGACTCTGGGGGTGCTGGCTCTGGGGGTGCTGCGAGTCCTACGGGTGCAAGGGGTGCTGCTACTGGAGGTTCTACGGGTGGAGGTGCTGGTGGTGCTGGTCCTGGTGGTGCTGGTGCTGGTGGTGCTAGTGCACGTCGGCAGGAGACTCTCTCGCCGGAGCGGCTTCGCGATTTGGCTGTCCGTTGGGGCAATCCTGGTGGTGGCGTTGGACGTGCTAGATCTGCAGTTTCTGGAGGTGCTGGCCCTGGAGGTGCTAGCACTGGTGTTCCTGGAGTTAGCCGTGCTGGAGGTACTGGTCCTGGAGGCACAGCTGCTGCTGGGGGTACTGGCGGTGCTGGCACTGGAGGTACTACTCGAGGTACTGGAGTTAGTGGTGCTAGTCGGCAGGAGTCGCTCTCGCCGCTGCAGCTTCGCGAGTGGGCTGTCTGTTGGGGCAGTCCCGGTGGTGGAGCTGGAGGTACTGGTTCTGGGGGTGCTATTGCTACTGGAGCTGGAGGTTCTAGGGGTACGACTACTCAGCCGCAGCCATCTGCGCTTCGTCACCTTCTCAGTCTCCCGCCTGCTGCTACTGAGTTCCCGATTGTTGGTACTACTCCTCCGTTACTGTTCCCACCGACTGACCAGTCTCGGCCACAGCTACTGCCTGGCTCCCCGCTGCCTGCTCCTGCTCCTCACACTGAGGTGAATGCGTCCCTGACTGCGCGTCGTGAGCCTGAGACTCGTGCTTCCACTCCTAAGCATCAAGAGCCTGAGACTAGAGCTTCTGTCCTTGCTCGTGTTCGTCGTGTTCGGCGTCCTCATGCTCCGGCTGTACCAGGCACTTACGATACGACACTCTGTCCTTCCTCTGTTCCACAACGTGTTGTCCTGCCATCGCCTACCCCTTCCTCTCTTCCGCACGTTCCTATCCCTGAGTCTGACCTTGTCCGTGCTGCCAGTCCGACTGTCACTCGTCTCCTTGCCAGAGTTGTGACTGACCCTTCCTTTGAGTCTGCTGTTGTGTCTGCCTTAGCTGCTGAGCTTGTTGACTTTGCCACTTTGTGCCGCCTTGACTACGCTTCGAGTCTTGTTTTTGACTCTTTCTGTCCTTCGTCCGTCGGGGGTGAGCTTCCCCTCAGCTGTGACGTCCTTGAGGACAGGCAGTTTGAGCTGGAGTGCCTAGTGGCCGCTGCACCTCATCTCGCGTCCACGCTACTTTGCCCTGAGGGAGACCCGGATGCACTGGACATCCCGACCCCACGCACTTACGCAGAGGCGATCACGGGTCCGTACTCCTCTTAGTGGCAGGTAGCCATGGATGCCGAGATGGCTTCGTGGAAGTCCACAGGTACCTACGTCGACGGGGTTCCCCCACCTAGGGCGAATATAGTCGATGGCATGTGGATTTTCAGGGTGAAGCGGCCGCCGGGTTCTCCGCCTGCCCTCAAGGCGCGTTACGTTGCACGAGGCTTCAGTCAGCGACAAGGGATCGACTTCTTTCATACCTTCTCCCCCACCCTGAAGATGACCACTCTTTGGGTGCTACTGCACGTTGCAACACAGCGCGACTACGAGCTGCACTCCCTCGACTTCTCGACAGCCTTCTTGCAGGGCGGCCTTCACGAGGCAATCTGGTTGCGCCGTCTACGTGGCTTCACTGGGTCATTTCCTGAGGGTACCCAATGGAGTCTTCGGCGACCACTCTACGGCCTACGACAGGCGCCCCGCGAGTGGCACGACACACAGAGGACTACACTTGCAGCTCTTGGCTTCGCTCCCTCGACTGCTGACCCTTCGTTGTTTCTGCGCACAGACACTTCTCTGTCGCTGTTCTATGTTTTCGTGTACATTGACAACTTGGTTTTTTCTACTGCTGACACTGAGGCTCTGGCCTTGGTAAAGGTGGAGCTGCAGGAGAGACACACATGCACTGACTTGGGTGAGCTGCGGAGCTATCTTGGCTTGTAGATCACCCGGGACAGAGCATGCCGCACCATCACCCTCACTCAGTCACACATGGTGCAGGAGGTCCTTTAGCGCTTCGACTTCACGTGGTCCTCGCCACAGCCCACTCCTCTGTCTACCGGCCACTCGCTCTCAGCTCCACCTTCGGACGAGTCCGTAGAGCCGAGTGGTCCAAACCCAGAGCTTGTGGGTTGCCTCATGTACCTGATGACGTGCACACGACCTGACCTCGCGTACCCTCTCAGCCTCCTGGCTCGCTACGTGGCTCCCGGTAGGCACCGAAAGGTGCACTGGGAAGCTGCGAAGAGGGTATTGCGTTACTTGTGCAGTACATCGGGCATGGGGCTCGTGCTTGGAGGACGGGGTTCAGTTGTTCTCGTCGGTCACTCAGACGCTTCTTGGGCTGACGACAAGACGACTCACTAGTCGACACAGGGGTACAATTTCAGCCTCGGCACTGGTTCTGTCTCGTGGAGGTCCACTCGCTCTTCTTTTGTACTTAGTTCCAGCTGTGAGGCCGAGATCTACTCTGGGGCTATGGATGCACAGGAGCTCCGCTGGGTGACCTACCTGCTGACCGACTTGGGTGAGCGGCCTCGTTCTCCTCCAGTTTTGTACGTCGACAACAAGGTCATGATTGCCTTATGTCAGGAGACTGGAGCACAGAACGAAGCACATTGCTCTCCGTTACTTCCTCACGCGAGAGCTGCAGCAGCGTGGTCAGCTTTGTCTTGCTTACGTGGCCGCACGGGCCAACACTGCTGATGTCTTCACCAAGGCCCTTGGGTCTAGTGATCATCAGCGAAACCTGCACTGCTCTTGGGCTTGTGCCCGCTCTGCCTCATTTGCTTGTCTCTTGATCTTGCTCTGTACTTTGATATATAAACCTGCATATTTCTGGTTGCTAGGTTGTAATCATTGTCCTGCTTGCCCTGTTATAAAACTGCATGTGAATTGGCCTTGTGGCCATTTACTTGTGCTCGGAATGTGTGGTGTCCTTGAGATCCACTCTGAGCTTCGTTCTTTGTTTCTTCTCTTGACTGGTCTTCTGACCGTTTGTTGTCCCCCACTTAGTCTATGGGGGTGTGTCAAATGTAATATCTCACTGTAGGCTATATTGGGGTACTCATTAGGGGATACAACCCATTAGGGTTTCCTACTTGTATGTTTGTACCCCTCCTTTCTACTTATTCCTCTTTCCTTATTCTGACAACATGAATCCATACATAGTAAGGAATAAAAATCCCTTATTTATGTATATCCAATTTTTACTGATCTGTAACTCGAATAATTCTGGGATCAATTTTTTTATAATCAAGTTCAATAATCTGAATGTTTTAATGAATATATGCTGTTTGTGATTGGGATGTTTCAGAATGGGTTTTATCACAATCTAACGATTTTACATAAATGGAGCAATGAGAGTAGAAATCCAAAAGAATGAGTCTGCGTAAACTTTAAGTTCACTGCCTTTCTTGGAAGTGATGACTGGTTTGTCAAACTCGCTAGAGGCTTCAAACGAGGACTTATAAACTACGGAATAGCATATTCCTGCCCGTCAAGATTAGTGGGTAAACAACAATCAGCATTTGGACCATAGCGAAACGTATCCAACCTCTCTGATACCCTTGACACCATCTGCCAGCCATTGACATTTTGGAAATTGGAACCCGAGGTTTGAAAACTCAGCAGGTGCCCCACAAACACGAGTGATGATGTTTTTTACCAGGAAGACACTAATCTTCCACGTTTCACCTGTTGCTGATTAGGCAATGTTAGGCGTTTCCTGCTGCAGTTGCTGACCAAGCGGTGTCAGATCGCCTCGAATCCTGCTGTCTTTGAACTGAGCGGCGCGCGTCGAGTTATTAATCGCGGAAACATGGCGGAAAGGCGTCGAGCGGGAGGGGTAAGTTGTAGCTATACAATGTCATACTGAATACTCGATACTGTCACTCGCCGATGACGTACCGCTTTGAATTCGAGCGTTACAATGTCGGCATAGACGGCTCCCAGAACGCCGTTTGACGTCAGATGATGTCAGCATCATAAAGTTAACGTTTATCGTCCAATGGTCATTTACCGGATCACCAGTCCAAGGCTCAACACTGTCAGTCAGTTTCATATCGCCGGTCAATCTCATATCGCCGATCAAGTTCGTGTTCTCCCCCTCTCACCACAAACACCCTCTGCAAGTCCTAGAATGTGGTTTCAGCCGATTCAGATTCCTCTTTGAGACGACTCAAACTCCCAAGTCTCCGCCTGCAATCCACTCTCCCCCAATGCCCACCCTCCGCGTGCCCCGCTTCCGCATTTCCCCGCGGCTTTTCCACTATTTCCTCCCGCTCCTTCCCCCCAATTCGTCGGTATCCCCCTTTCTTTCCCCACACCGGCTCCCCTTCTTTGCATTCCTCCCTGTTTCCCCCTCCCTGTTTCCCCCTCCCTGTTTCCTCCTCCCTTTTTCACCCTCCCATTCCCCGTCCCTGTTTCCCCTTTATATCCCTCTCCATTTCCCTGTTTCCGTTTCCTCTTCCATGTCATCCTCGCCAGCCTTTTCCACTTCCTGTTTTTCAGTCGACTCAAAAACATTGTTCCCGTTTCCTCTTCCATTTCATCCTCGCAACCCTTTTCCACTTCCCCCCTCCCTTCTCCCCTCCTCACGTCCCCTCACCATGGGGCGCAAGCGCGCAGCCCTCCCCCGCCTGCTCTCCCCCAGCAGTTCCCCCCTGGGCTTTGGGGGCGGAGAGGGGGGATCAGGCGCTACCCTCAATTCCCCTTGGCCTCACCGTTCCCCCTCCCCTTCCTCCTCCCTTTTCCCCCTCCCCTACCTCCTCCCTGTTCCCCCTCCCTGTTCCCTTGTTCCCCTCCTCGCTCCCACCCCCCCTTCCCCCATTTCCATCCCCCCCCCAGCCCCGTCCCCTCAACATGGGGCGCAAGCGCGCAGCCCTCCCCCGCCTTCTCTCCCCCAGCAGCTCCCCCCTGGGCTTTGGGGGCGGAGTGGATGGGTCCAGCGCAACTTTCAAGATAGCCCTCCTTGGCCTCGCTGCCTGCCTCTTCTGCCTGCTTATCCTCGTTATAATCGTCCTCTTTGCCCTGGTAATTCGTCGGCTCCGTTATAAGTACCCTCTTTGCTCTGTTATGTACCCAAGGTAACTGTTACCCTCAAGATGGCTCTCCTTGGTCTCGCTGTTTGCCTTTTCTGCCTGCTTATCCTCGTTATAATCATGCTCTTTGCCCTGGTAAGTCTTCCCCATTATAATCTACCTCATTTTCTCTGCTAGTTTGGCGTTTTCTCTTAAAACGGCTCTGTTTGAACTGTCTGCAGGTGCTTTTTGAGAAGTAAAAAAAACTGCATCCTTTGTAGATCATCCTCGTTATAGACGCCCTCTTTGCTCTTGTAGGTAGCCCTAGAAAGCTGTGATCCCCACAGTCCTGCTACACTCCCATCCATCTCCCAACACTTTCTCATCCCCCTCCTACCTGCCACACTCCCCACATTCCCCCCTCTTCAGCCGCACCCTCCCCTGTCCCTCCTCCCCCGCACCGCACCCTCCCGTTTCTGCTGAATCCTCTCTCCCCTTCCGCTCTGCCAGCTCATCAGCATGAGACGATCGCCTTCTGTCCCCTTCCCTGTCCCTCTGCCCGTTCTCCCTCCCCCCCTTCCCCACACACCCTCCCCCCCCTGTCCCTCCCCACCCCTCCTTCCTCCCTTTCCTGCTGACGCCTCTCCACTCTCCCCTTTTGGCTCTCCCATTTTGCTCTTTCCATCTCTCTTTCAAAGCGCTTTCAAAGTCGCCTCTCCCCCTCCCGTTTCTGCTGACGCCTCTCCCCTCTCCCCTTTTGGCTCTCCCATTTTGCTCTTTCCATCTCTCTTTCAAAGAGCTTTCAAAGTCGCCTCTCCCCCTCCCGTTTCTGCTGACGCCTCTCCCCTCTCCCCTTTTGGCTCTCCCATTTTGCTCTTTCCATCTCTCTTTCAAAGCGCTTTCAAAGTCGCCTCTCCCCCTCCCGTTTCTGCTGACGCCTCTCCCCTCTCCCCTATTGGCTCTCCCATTTTGCTCTTTCCATCTCTCTTTCAATGCGCTTTCAAAGTCGCCTCTCCCCCTCCCGTTTCTGCTGACGCCTCTCCCCTCTCCCCTTTTGGCTCTCCCATTTTGCTCTTTCCATCTCTCTTTCAAAGCGCTTTCAAAGTCGCCTCTCCCCCTCCCGTTTCTGCTGACGCCTCTCCCCTCTCCCCTATTGGCTCTCCCATTTTGCTCTTTCCATCTCTCTTTCAAAGCGCTTTCAAAGTCGCCTCTCCCCCTCCCGTTTCTGCTGACGCCTCTCCCCTCTCCCCTTTTGGCTCTCCCATTTTGCTCTTTCCATCTCTCTTTCAAAGCGCTTTCAAAGTCGCCTCTCCCCCTCCCGTTTCTGCTGACGCCTCTCCCCTCTCCCCTATTGGCTCTCCCATTTTGCTCTTTCCATCTCTCTTTCAAAGCGCTTTCAAAGTCGCCTCTCCCCCTTCCGTTTCTACTGACGCCTCTCTCCTCTCCCCTTTTGGCTCTCCCATTTTGCTCTTTCCATCTCTCTTTCAAAGCGCTTTCAAAGTTGCCTCTCCCCCTCCCGTTTCAGCTGACGCCTCTCTCCCCTTTGGCCCCCCCATTTCGCCCTGCCAGCTCATCAGCATGAGGTGGTCATCTGCTGACGTGGCCGCCAGCCTGGCAGCGCGAGAGCCACTCAGTAAGTCAGAATCCTTTGAGGCCTCTGTCAATGCAGCAGCTGTGACAGAACAGCGGAGAGTTAAGAGCGAGTTTTGAGGCGCCGCAAAAGGCAGCACGAGAGTCACTCAGTAAGTGACAAACCTTGAGGGCTCTGGTCGCAATGCAGGAGTGACGAGTATTCATGCAGGAGAACAGCTGAGAGTTAAGAGCGAGAGTCTGAACGTTCCAATTCTAAGTATTCATGGATACGAGGCAGAGAATGAGTGAGTGAGTGAGTGAGTGAGTGAGTGATTGAGTGAGTATTCATGGATACTTGAACGAGGCAGAGAATGAGTGAGTGAGTAAGCGAGCGAGCATTTGAGCAATTACCAATTTATTTTGTGATTAAATGGCAGCGAGCGAGCGAGGGAGTGAGTGAGTGGTTGAAAACTTGTCAAAGCATCCACTCGCTCACTCACCCTTGACTGAATTGTCACTCACGAGGCTGGCTGAACAGCTGTACCTGTATCGTCTCTGTACCACCTACACTCCAACTCCTAAACCCGAAGCCTTAACCCACCTTGAAGCCGAACTTTCAAACCCTACCGTACTCGCTGCAGGCCTCTCTCTGCATTCTATCACTCCCGTACACTTCTCTCGTCTTCCTTTCCTCCATCCCCTCCCCCTGCCCCCTCGCTCGGCCCTCTTCTCCCCTCCTGGCAGCTGCGGAGGCGCTGAGAGGGAGAAAGGCGCATCCTGGCAAGGTCATGGATGAACAAGGCATGGTGGTGGTAGTAAGTGCTCTATTCATCTCGTATTCCTTTCCTCCATCCCCTCCCCCTGCCCCCTCGCTCGGCCCTTTTCTCCTCTCCTTGCAGCTGCGGAGGCGCTGAGAGGGAGTAAGGCGCATATGGCCATGGTCCATACTTCGTTTCTGTGGGTCTGTTTCCCCCTTCCTCACTCCTCCCCTCCTCTCCTCCTCGGCCCTCCTGTTTTCTCCCCTCCTGGCAGCTGCAGAGGCGCTGAGAGGGAGGAAGGCGCATCCTGGCATGGTCGTAAATCAACCAGGCATGGTAAGTGCTCCATCCCTCTGACTTCCTACTTCTTCTCGTTTTTGAGAATTCTCAAATGTGATTCTGAGAGGGAGAAAAGCATGTCTTGGCATGCTCATCGATTTACAAGGCATGGTATTGACTCCACTTCACTCCACCCAGCCCAATCCCACTGTTTCTGTTACTACTGCCACCACCACTGCTGCCAATGACTCTATCTTTACTCCCTACCTACATCACTCCACTCCACCCAGCCCAATCCCACTGTTTCTGTCACTACTGCCACCACCACTGCTGCCAATGACTCTATCTTTACTCCCTCCCTACTCCACTCCACTCCACCCAGCCCAATCCCACTGTTTCTGTTACTACTGCCACCACCACTGCTGCCAATGACTCTATCTTTACTCCCACCCTACATCACTCCACTCCACCCAGCCCAATCCCACTGTTTCTGTCACTACTGCCACCACCACTGCTGCCAATGACTCTATCTTTACTCCCTCCCTACTCCACTCCACCCCACCCAGCCCAATCCCACAGTTTCTTGTACTGCTGCAACCACTGCTGCCAATGTCACTGCCACTGCTGCCAGTGACTCTATCTTTACTCCCTACCTACTCCACTCCACTCCACCCAGCCCAATCCCACAGTTTCTTGCACTGCTGCCACCACTGCTGCCAATGCCACTGCCACTGCTGCCAGTGACTCTATCTTTACTCCCTCCCTACTCCACTCCACTCCACCCAGCCCAATCCCACTGTTTCTGTCACTACTGCCACCACCACTGCCGCCAATGACTCTATCTTTACTCCCTACCTACTCCACTCCACTCCACCCAGCCCAATCCCACAGTTTCTTGCACTGCTGCCACCACTGCTGCCAATGCCACTGCCACTGCTGCCAGTGACTCTATCTTTACTCCCTCCCTACTCCACTCCACTCCACCCAGCCCAATCCCACAGTTTCTTTTACTGCTGCCACCACTGCTGCCAATGCCACCACCACTGCTGCCAGTGACTCTATCTTTACTCCCTCCCTACTCCACTCCACTCCACCCAGCCCAATCCCACTGTTTCTGTTACTACTGCCACCACCACTGCTGCCAATGACTCTATCTTTACTCCCTCCCTACTCCACTCCACTCCACCCAGCCCAATCCCACAGTTTCTTTTACTGCTGCCACCACTGCTGCCAATGCCACTGCCACTGCTGCCAGTGACTCTATCTTTACTCCCTACCTACTCCACTCCACTCCACCCAGCCCAATCCCACTGTTTCTGTTACTACTGCCACCACCACTGCTGCCAGTGACTCTATCTTTACTCCCTACCTACTCCACTCCACTCCACCCAGCCCAATCCCACTGTTTCTGTTACTTCTGCCACCACCACTGCTGCCAATGACTCTACCTTTACTCCCTCCCTACTCCACTCCACTCCACCCAGCCCAATCCCACTGTTTCTGTTACTACTGCCACCACCACTGCTGCCAATGACTCTACCTTTACTCCCTCCCTACTCCACTCCACCCCACCCAGCCCAATCCCACAGTTTCTTGCACTGCTGCCACCACTGCTGCCAATGCCACTGCCACTGCTGCCAGTGACTCTATCTTTACTCCCTCCCTACTCCACTCCACTCCACCCAGCCCAATCCCACTGTTTCTGTTACTACTGCCACCACCACTGCTGCCAATGACTCTACCTTTACTCCCTCCCTACTCCACTCCACTCCACCCAGCCCAATCCCACTGTTTCTGTTACTACTGCCACCACCACTGCTGCCAATGACTCTACCTTTACTCCCTCCCTACTCCACTCCACCCCACCCAGCCCAATCCCACAGTTTCTTTTACTGCTGCCACCACTGCTGCCAATGCCACTGCCACTGCTGCCAGTGACTCTATCTTTACTCCCTCCCTACTCCACTCCACTCCACCCAGCCCAATCCCACAGTTTCTGTCACTACTGCCACCACCACTGCTGCCAATGACTCTATCTTTACTCCCTCCCTACTCCACTCCACTCCACCCAGCCCAATCCCACTGTTTCTGTTACTACTGCCACCACCACTGCTGCCAATGACTCTATCTTTACTCCCTCCCTACTCCACTCCACTCCACCCAGCCCAATCCCACTGTTTCTGTTACTACTGCCACCACCACTGCTGCCAATGACTCTACCTTTACTCCCTCCCTACTCCACTCCACTCCACCCAGCCCAATCCCACTGTTTCTGTTACTACTGCCACCACCACTGCTGCCAATGACTCTACCTTTACTCCCTCCCTACTCCACTCCACCCCACCCAGCCCAATCCCACAGTTTCTTTTACTGCTGCCACCACTGCTGCCAATGCCACTGCCACTGCTGCCAGTGACTCTATCTTTACTCCCTCCCTACTCCACTCCACTCCACCCAGCCCAATCCCACAGTTTCTGTCACTACTGCCACCACCACTGCTGCCAATGACTCTATCTTTACTCCCTCCCTACTCCACTCCACTCCACCCAGCCCAATCCCACTGTTTCTGTCACTACTGCCACCACCACTGCTGCCAATGACTCTACCTTTACTCCCTCCCTACTCCAATCCACTCCACCCCACCCAGCCCAATTTCACCACTGCTGCAGGCAGTAGCAGCTCTAACAATCCCAGCGAGAAGGCCAATACTCAGGACGGAGCAGCTAATAACGAGGATAAAAATCCAGCTGGCACTGACGACGAGGATGAGGATGATGATGATGAGGCGGGCGGCGGAGGGCTGTCGAGCCGGAGGAAGGAAGGTGCGCGGAAGCTTCAGCAATGGAGGGAGTTCTTCAGAGGGGTGGTTCTGGTGCTGCACTTTTCCAGGTCAGTTACGCTGGGGATGGGGAGAGCAGGGAGAATGTGTCAGTTGAAATGGGGGTGGGTGGGGAAATGCGTGTTGGGGTTTGGAAGATGAGTTTTGTAAGCGCCTCTAGAGGAGGAGTGGCTCTGGTTCTGGTGCTGCGCTTTTCCAGGTCAGTTGCGCAACCCATCCCTTCAGACCCACTCCCACTGCTCTCCCCATCCCTTCAGACCCACTCTCACTGCTCTCCCCATCCCCAGCGCAACTGACCTGGAAAAGTGCAGCGCAAAGCATGGGGAGGCAGCTGGGTTGAGGAGGGGGGCATGAGTGTCGGGGATGCGATGGCGGTGGTTCGGGGATGGGATGGGGATGACGGTGTTGAGGGGTGGGGGGGAGAGGAACCAAGTGCACCAAGACAACCAAGCTTGCTCTGAAGCATTTGGTTCCTCCCCCAAGCCTCCCCCAAGCCTCCCCCAAGCCTCCCCCAAGCCTCCCTGAAGAGCCAAGCTTCGGGAGGGAGTTCTTCAGAGGGGTGGTTCTGGTGCTGCACTTTTCCATGTCCGTTGCGCTGGGGTTGGGGAGTGGGTGTTGGGGTTTGGGAGATGGGTTTTGTTAGCGCCGTGGCTTTTGAGTCGACTCAAAAGTCACCTTGTTGTAGGGAGGGGTGTTTGACGATTGCATGCGCGCTTTCCTTCTTGCATGCGCGCTTTCCTTCTTGCATGCGCGCTTTCCTTCTTGCATGCGCGCTTTCCTTCTTGCATGCGCGCTTTCCTTCTTGCATGCGCGCTTTCCTTCTTGCATGCGCGCTTTCCTTCTTGCATGCGCGCTTTCCTTCTTGCATGCGCGCTTTCCTTCTTGCCTTGCATGCGCGCTTTCCTTCTTGCATGCGCGCTTTCCTTCTTGCATGCGCGCTTTCCTTCTTGCATGCGCGCTTTCCTTCTTGCATGCGCGCTTTCCTTCTTGCATGCGCGCTTTCCTTCTTGCATGCGCGCTTTCCTTCTTGCATGCGCGCTTTCCTTCTTGCATGCGCGCTTTCCTTCTTGCATGCGCGCTTTCCTTCTTGCATGCGCGCTTTCCTTCTTGCATGCGCGCTTTCCTTCTTGCATGCGCGCTTTCCTTCTTGCATGCGCGCTTTCCTTCTTGCATGCGCGCTTCCTTCTTGCATGCGCGCTTTCCTTCTTGCATGCGCGCTTTCCTTCTTGCATGCGCGCTTTCCTTCTTGCATGCGCGCTTTCCTTCTTGCATGCGCGCTTTCCTTCTTGCATGCGCGCTTTCCTTCTTGCATGCGCGCTTTCCTTCTTGCATGCGCGCTTTCCTTCTTGCATGCGCGCTTTCCTTCTTGCATGCGCGCTTTCCTTCTTGCATGCGCGCTTTCCTTCTTGCATGCGCGCTTTCCTTCTTGCATGCGCGCTTTCCTTCTTGCATGCGCGCTTTCCTTCTTGCATGCGCGCTTTCCTTCTTGCATGCGCGCTTTCCTTCTTGCATGCGCGCTTTCCTTCTTGCATGCGCGCTTTCCTTCTTGCATGCGCGCTTTCCTTCTTGCATGCGCGCTTTCCTTCTTGCATGCGCGCTTTCCTTCTTGCATGCGCGCTTTCCTTCTTGCATGCGCGCTTTCCTTCTTGCATGCGCGCTTTCCTTCTTGCATGCGCGCTTTCCTTCTTGCATGCGCGCTTTCCTTCTTGCATGCGCGCTTTCCTTCTTGCATGCGCGCTTTCCTTCTTGCATGCGCGCTTTCCTTCTTGCATGCGCGCTTTCCTTCTTGCATGCGCGCTTTCCTTCTTGCATGCGCGCTTTCCTTCTTGCATGCGCGCTTTCCTTCTTGCATGCGCGCTTTCCTTCTTGCATGCGCGCTTTCCTTCTTGCATGCGCGCTTTCCTTCTTGCATGCGCGCTTTCCTTCTTGCATGCGCGCTTTCCTTCTTGCATGCGCGCTTTCCTTCTTGCATGCGCGCTTTCCTTCTTGCATGCGCGCTTTCCTTCTTGCATGCGCGCTTTCCTTCTTGCATGCGCGCTTTCCTTCTTGCATGCGCGCTTTCCTTCTTGCATGCGCGCTTTCCTTCTTGCATGCGCGCTTTCCTTCTTGCATGCGCGCTTTCCTTCTTGCATGCGCGCTTTCCTTCTTGCATGCGCGCTTTCCTTCTTGCATGCGCGCTTTCCTTCTTGCATGCGCGCTTTCCTTCTTGCATGCGCGCTTTCCTTCTTGCATGCGCGCTTTCCTTCTTGCATGCGCGCTTTCCTTCTTGCATGCGCGCTTTCCTTCTTGCATGCGCGCTTTCCTTCTTGCATGCGCGCTTTCCTTCTTGCATGCGCGCTTTCCTTCTTGCATGCGCGCTTTCCTTCTTGCATGCGCGCTTTCCTTCTTGCATGCGCGCTTTCCTTCTTGCATGCGCGCTTTCCTTCTTGCATGCGCGCTTTCCTTCTTGCATGCGCGCTTTCCTTCTTGCATGCGCGCTTTCCTTCTTGCATGCGCGCTTTCCTTCTTGCATGCGCGCTTTCCTTCTTGCATGCGCGCTTTCCTTCTTGCATGCGCGCTTTCCTTCTTGCATGCGCGCTTTCCTTCTTGCATGCGCGCTTTCCTTCTTGCATGCGTCGCTTCCTTCTTGCATGCGCGCTTTCCTTCTTGCATGCGCGCTTTCCTTCTTGCATGCGCGCTTTCCTTCTTGCATGCGCGCTTTCCTTCTTGCATGCGCGCTTTCCTTCTTGCATGCGCGCTTTCCTTCTTGCATGCGCGCTTTCCTTCTTGCATGCGCGCTTTCCTTCTTGCATGCGCGCTTTCCTTCTTGCATGCGCGCTTTCCTTCTTGCATGCGCGCTTTCCTTCTTGCATGCGCGCTTTCCTTCTTGCATGCGCGCTTTCCTTCTTGCATGCGCGCTTTCCTTCTTGCATGCGCGCTTTCCTTCTTGCATGCGCGCTTTCCTTCTTGCATGCGCGCTTTCCTTCTTGCATGCGCGCTTTCCTTCTTGCATGCGCGCTTTCCTTCTTGCATGCGCGCTTTCCTTCTTGCATGCGCGCTTTCCTTCTTGCATGCGCGCTTTCCTTCTTGCTGCTTCAATTAGCTGCTCTTTCTTGCACTGCCCCTTCCCTCCCTCCTTCTCTCCTTCCCTCGGTCCTTCATCCCATGCGGCCTACTGATTGCAGAGTAACGAGGTGACTTTTGCGTCGACTCAAAAGTCACCTCTTTCTTGCACTGCCCCTTCCCTCCTTCCTTCCTTCCTTCCTTCCTTCCTTCCTTCCTTCCTTCCTTCATCCCATGCGGGCCACTGATTGCAGGCAAGTGCGTTTTTACAAAGTACTACCAACCAACTACTGGTGTTGAATCCTAAGTTGCTGCCACGTATCGAACTCAATGGCGCCTAACTGGTGTCCTCTTCCATGCGGGCCACTGATTGCAGTCAAGTGCGGGCATGGCAGACATTGGAGTTCTGGCGCCACGTGTACGGCCGCGTATTCAGCAGTGCATGTCATGCCTGTTCCCTGCTGCCTGCTTCCGTGCCTCACTTGCTCTCACTGCAGGCCGGTGCGCGCGTGGCAGACACTGGAGTTCTGGCGCCACGTGTACGGCCGCGTATTCGACGATCTGGTGACAGTGTCAACAGAAGCAATCCCTGAGCTGGGGGTCATTGCGGTATGCTCCCTCCTCCACGCACTCTTTCTCTTCCTCTTCCTCTGCCTCTTCCTCATGCCTCTTCCTCATGCCTCTTCCCTTCCCAAGTGTACTACGGCCGTGTATTCAACAATCTGGTGACAGTGTCAACAGAAGCAATCCCCGAGCTGGGGGTAATTGCGGTATGCCCTCCAACTCCCTCCCTCCCTCCCACTCCGTCGCACCCACTCCCTCCTCCCACCCACCCATGTCCACGGCCACAATTCCTCGTGCCTCGTTCCTTCCCACGTGTACGGCCGCGTATTCGACGATTTTGTGGCGCTTTCAACTGAAGCTATACCTGAGCTGGGGGTCATTGTGGCGCTTTCAGCTGAAGCTATACCTGAGCTGGGGGTCATTGTGGCGCTTTCAACTGAAGCTATACCTGAGCTGGGGGTCATTCCCCAGTGTCACCAGAAGCTATACCTGAGCTGGGGGTCATTGCGGTGTGCTCGCACACAGTCCCTCCCTCCCACTCCTTGGCACACACTCCCTCCCTCCCACTCCTTCATGTCAGATTACCATCCTCATTGTAACCTACATCAATCTTATAAGCTTAGGTTAGAGATAGCCACCCAAACTTAGTTTCGGTGTAGAACTAGGGCTAACCCTAGTTGGGGGTTGGAACTCAAACCTTAGCCCCCAAGGTTGGGTTGGGAATTATTGGTCCCCCCAATAATCCCTCAACCCAACTTATTGGTGGGGGCCAATAATGTTGGCTTGGTTCCAACCAACCCCCCCCCCCCTAGCACTACTATGTATACCCCAATCTCTCCTAATGAAATCAATGGTTCTTCCTCACGTTTTCTCATACTTCACGCACACTCCCTCCCTCCCACTCCCTGGCACGCACTCCCTCCCTCTCTCCTCCCACTCACCCACATCTGCGGCTGCAACTCGTGCTCCTCATGCCTCTTCCCTTCTGCCGGCCCCCCTCTCTCCGCCCGTCCCCTCAAACACTCCCTGTTTCCTGTAGTGTTCTATTGAGGCGCCTCAAAAGTCGCCTCAAAAGGCGCCCGTCCACCTCACCATCCACCTCACCATCCTGTGTGTTGCCTCAACGCAATGCCCCTTTCCCCCTCCCCACCTCTCCACCCACCACTCCCCACTCCCCCAGGCAACACCCTCCCCTGCTGCCAACACCGATGCCGTTCTCCCCACCATCATGGATGCAGCAACACGCCTCAGCCTCGGGCTTCCTCTGTCTATTCTGTGTTGTGGCACTGCCCCTTCCCCCAGGCCACACCCTCCCCAGCTGCCAGCGCTGATGCATCTTTCTCCTACACCGCTCTCCCCATCATCATGGAGTAACAGCCACCCACTGCTTCGGGCTTCCTCTGTCTGTTCTCTCTTGTGGCTATGCCCCTTCCCCCAGGCTACAACCTCCCCTGCTGCCAACGTTGACGCCTCTCTCTCCTACACCACTATGCCAACCATCATGGAGCAACACGCCTCAGCGGCTGATTGTCTTGCTCCCTCTCTCTGCTCGCCCCTCTTCCTCTCGCCCCATTCTCCAGGCCACATTGCCACAACATGCAGCAACACGCCTCAGCCTCTCATTGCCATGCTCCCTCTCTACCTCTCCCCACCCCCTCCCCCAGGCCACATCCACCCCTATCACCAACGCTGACCTCTCTCTCCTACACCGCTCTCCCCACCATCATGCAGCAGCAACACGCCTCAGCCTCAGGCTTCCTCTGGTGTGGTGTTGACGCCTCTTCCCCACTGCCTCTGGCTTCCTCTGTCTGTTCCCTCTTGTGGCACTGCCCCTGCGTACCCCAGGCCACAAGCTCCCCTGCCGCCAACACCGATGCCTCTCTCTCCTACACCGCACTCCCCACCATCATGGAGCAACACGCCTCAGCCTCGGGCTTCCTCTGGCTGGACGACGATGCAATTCTCAACTACTGGACGCTGGCCGATGCCTCTCTGGATAAGGTACTATCCTCAGTAAGCATAATAGGGCACACTCCCTGCTCACCTTTGCAGCCTCGGGCTTCCTCTGCCTGGACGGTGATGCAACTCTCAACTATTGGACTAAGGGCTCATGCCCCCCAGCTGCTGAGGTGAGTTTTGCGCCTGAAAACTTTCTGTTGCTTCCTCTTCCTGGCTGGGCGACGATGCAAGAAGTGCTGAACTACTGGACTCCGGGCTCACGCCTCCCTGCTCTGCTACTGCAGCGCTTCTGCCACTCATCTCCACTCCTCTCCACCCCCCCTCCCCCCCCCTCCACCGTGTGCACCCTCCCCACAAAATCAAATCGTATTTAAACTCTTCCAACCCCAACCATCTTCTCGCCCTGCTTTCGCTCTCTATTCTCTCTCTCCCGGATTCAATTAACCTACCCTCACATCTCCACCCCTCACCACCCCTCTCCGCCCCTCCCCTTCCAACCCCCCCTCCCCCGCCACCCTCCACAGAATAAAATCTGGTACCTAAACTCTTCCAACCCAAACCACCTCGTCACCCTCCCCCTCGATCAGCCACCCTCCGCACCCATCCGCACAGCTCTGGACCCCGCGGATCTTCCCAACCACATCTCCACATCGCTCTCTCACCTCTCTGAATCCCTCTGAGCCCAGCTGGACCGCTCTCTGTGGCCCCGCCACCTCTCCTTCCCCCTCGCCGCCTCCGCCTCATCGGCCTTCTTCATCCCACAAAGGCTGGTCGACTCTGCTGCTCTGCACGTCATCCCCGTGTTTGCAGCCGAGGCAATACCCGCACAGGTACGCGCATTGTACAGGTACGCGTTCCTTCCCACACTGTGCGCTTGAGTGTGCGTATCCGTGGGTGACTACTTTTGAGACGTCTCAAAAGCTGTCTACTGTGTGCTTGAGTGTGCGCATTGACTTTTGAGTCGACTCATAAGTCAGCTTGAGTGTGTGCATCCGTGGGTGATAGCAGCTCCCCCCGCCCCCTCATCGCCTTCCCACTTAGAAGCCGTATACATCCCTTGACATCCCTATACCATCCCTACACCATCCCCATACCATATACCATCCCAATGCGACTGGTTCACTCCTGTCCTCGTATTCTCTTCACACCTGGACATCCATACCAATGCATCCCTTTGATAAGCTACAAAAGTCAAGTCAAACAACGTGGCATGCCCCCTCCCCATATGCCCCTCTCCCCGGCAAATGCCCCCTCCCCATACTCCCCTGTCCCCTGCGGCCCTCTGCATCCCCTCTCCCTTCCTCTCTCCTCTCCTCCCATTGGTGGCCATTCATTTCTCGTACCCACTTCACACTCCAACATCCAAAACAGTGCATCCCTCCAAGTACCCACTCATTGTGTGATGCAACCAGGTCTCTTCCCCTGTCCCCTGTGCCCCTGTGCTCTCCTCCCGCAGGTGGCCATTCATTTCTCTTACCCTCTTCACTCTCCAACATCCAAAACTGTGCATCCCTCCAAGTGCCCGCTCATCGTGTGATCCAAACCCTGGTCCCTTCCCTTGTGCCATGTGCCCCTCTACGTTTTCTTGCTCTCCCCTCTGCGCTCCCCTCCTCCCCCAGGTGGCCATTCCTCTTATCCTCTTTACACTCGAGCATCCAAAACGGTACGACCCTCGCGGTTTCACCGATGCGCGAGTTATTAACCCCTTGAGTCAGCAAGCTAGTCAAGAAACGCAACTGCAGCAGCAGCAGCAAGGGCCGCAGGAACAGGGAGGCAGTGTGGGATCGTACACTACAGCAACTACACTTGTTTTGCCGTTAGATGTTACGCATCCGGAAGAGAGACACAAGCTGCTTCTTGCGATGCATTCGGGGGATATTTCGCTCAGTGTGTCACATTCCGTTTGAAGTGCTTTGCAGCTTGTATCCTAATCTGCGTTGTCCTGTATTGCATAAATTCAACTCCCTTGCAGTGTTTCCTTTGGTGTAAGAAAGATGGTGTGTGCGGCAACCAATCATGAATGCGGAAATTGAAGCAAATTTAGCATTTCTATCTATTGAACTAACCAGGAATGCAGTTCAAAAAACATAATGCAGTTCGCGTAATAAAAAAAACATTTACTTCGAAATATAATGTATGCAGTTCAAATCCGCGTGTCTTAGGGGTGTACTACGGTAGATTGAGTCTTGAAAAATCAACCTTTTTTATATATATTGCAAGTAACGCTGGAAAATCAGCCATTTTTACAGGAAAGGATGTGAATCAGCCTTTTTTTTTTTTTATGGAGGCAGATGGATCAGTGTCCCTAAAATTGAATATGGGGAATCGGGTGCGCATACAGTACCAAGGTTAGCTACGAGTCACATCTTTAATCCAAGGAAAACTAATTTGTTTTCAAAATAGTGTGTAAAAAGACACATGTGTTCCCGGTATTGCATCAGCAGGAAGATCATTGTCAAGGCCTTGATGCTGTATATGAAGCTCGTACGGTAAGTGTGTTGATTTTCATGAGAAGAAACGAGGAATGAAAATGACTAAGGGAAAGTTGGGTACAAATACAAACCCTAGAAAACTGTACCCCATATGTGTTACCCCACTATAGCCTACAGTAGCTCTGTCATATAAATCTGACACACCCCCATAGGCAAAGTGGGGGAGAACAAGGGGTCACAAGACCAGTCAAGCAAAGCAAAGCAAGCTCAGGGTGGATCACAAAGTCACCACACATTCCGAGCACAAGTTCAAGGCCACAGGCCAGTTCACATGCAGGATTACATATATATATAAAGCTAGACAAGCAAGAGCAGGTGTATATATATATGCAACAGTACAAACAAGGTCAAGGGGTGAGCAAGTGAGGCAAGGTAGGCACAAGGCCCAGCTGAGTACAGAAACGCTGATGATCACAAGGCGCAAGTGCCTTGGTGAAGACATCAGCAGTGTTGGCCTGAGAGGCCACGTACGCAAGCCGCAGCTGACCACGCTGCTGTAGCTCACGAGCAAGGAAGTAGCGGAGAGCAATGTGCTTCGTTCTGTGCTCCAGTCTCTGCTCTCGACACAAGGCCAGCATGGCCTTGTTGTCTACGTACAGCACTGGAGGAGAACGAGGCGGCTCTCCGAGGTCAGTCAGCAGGTAGGTGAGCCAGCGAAGCTCCTGTGCAGCCATGGCCCCAGCGTAGATCTCAGCCTCACAACTGGAGCCGAGAACAGAAGACGAGTGGGTAGCCCGCCACGAAACAGAGCCGGAACCAAGGCTGAAGGTGTAACCCTGTGACGACCGCTGCGTAGCCTGGTCGTCAGCCCAAGAAGCGTCTGCGTGCCCAGTGAGGACCACTGGACTCTGCCCTCCAAGCACAAGCCCCATGCCCGACGTACTGCACAAGTAGCGCAACACCCTCTTTGCTGCAGCCATGTGCTCCGGTCTGTGTCTCCCAGGAGCAACATAGCGTGCGAGAATGCTAAGAGGGTATGCAAGGTCAGGTCGTGTGCAGGTCATCAGGTACATGAGGCAGCCAAGAAGCTCTGGGTACGGGCCACTCGACTCTACGGACTCATCCGAAGGCAGAGCTGAGAGCGAGTGGCGAGTAGGCAGAGAAGTGGCCTGAGGCGAGGAGTACGTGAAGCCGAAGCGCTGAAGGACCTGCTGCACCATGTGTGACTGAGTCAGGGTAATGGTGCGCCGTGCTCTGTCCCGGGTGATCTGCAAGCCAAGGTAGCTGCGCAGTTCACCCAGGTCTGTGCACGTGTGTCTCTTCTGCAGCTCGGACTTCACGTGGGCGAGTCCAGCAGTGTCAGCTGTGGCAAAGACCAGGTCGTCGACGTACACGAGGATGTAGAACGGCGGCAAAGAAGTGTCGGTGCGCAGAAACAGCGACGGGTCGGCAGTAGAGGGAGCAAACCCAAGAGCCGCAAGTGTAGTCCTCAGTGTGTCGTGCCACTCACGCGGTGCCTGGCGGAGACCGTAGACTGGTCGCCGGAGGCTCCACTGGGTGCCAGGAGGAAAAGACCCAGTGAAGCCAGGTGGGCGACGCAGCCAGATCTCCTCGTGCAGGCTGCCCTGCAAGAAAGCAGTGCTGAAGTCAAGAGAGTGCAGCTCGTAGTCGCGGTGAGCAGCTATGTACAGCAGTACCCGAAGAGTGGTCATCTTCGGGGTGGGAGAGAAGGTCTGAAAGTAGTCAACTCCCTGCCGCTGACTGAAGCCACGAGCCACGTAACGCGCCTTGAAGACAGGCGGAGAACCCGGCGGCCGCTTCACCCTGAAAATCCACATGCCACTGACGATGTTCGCCCCAGGCGGGGGAACCTCGTCAACGTAGGTGCCTGTGGACTTCCAGGAAGCCATCTCTGTGTCCATAGCTGCCTGCCACTGAGAGGAGTAGGGACCCTCTATCGCCTCCGCGTAAGAGCGCGGAGTCGGGATGTCAAGTGCATCCGGGTCTCCCTCAGGGGTAAGCAGTACGGACACAAGATGAGGTGAAGCAGCAGCCAAACACTGGAACTCCTCCTGCCTGTCCTCAAGGACGTCCGTGCCAAGGGCACACTCACCCCCGACGGACGGAGGACAGACAGACTCAGACTCAGCGACAAGACAAGCAGCGTAGTCTAGACGACAGCGAGCAGCAAAGTCGACGAGCTCAGCAACTAGGGCAGACGCAGCAGTGGACGCAAAGGAAGGGTCAGTGACGACAGTAGCAAGGAGACGCGTGACAGTAGGACTGGCAGCACGAAGAGAGTCCGACTCCGGGTCGGGAAGAGCAGGAAGAGAGGACTCAGGAGGAGAAGGCAAAGGGGCACGCAGAGGAGCAGTGGACGGACGCAGAGACATCCGGTGCGTGCCAGGGACAGGAGGAGGACGCTGACGCGAACCACGACCACTAGCGCGAGCAGTACGGACAGGCGACGCAGGACGCGACGCAGGCGCACGACGCTCGGCAAGACCTCCAGTAGGACCAGTGTAGGGAGAAGGAGCGGGCAGTGGGGAGGCCGGCTGTAACTGTAACTGTGACAGGACAGGCTGTGGACACTCTAAGGGAGGAGGAGGACCAGTAGAAGGCGGGAGACCAAGAACCTGCTGAAGGAGCGGAACGAAGTACGGCCGAGGCCGCGCGGCGACTCCAGACACAGCAGGGACAGCACCAGTACCCCCAGCGGCAGCACCAGCGTCAGCAGCACCTCCAGCTCCAGTACCTCCAGCAGCACCAGGAGCACCCCCAGCAGGACCGCCTCCAGGACCGACAGCAGTAGCCTCAGCGTCAACACCCTCAGCAGCTCCAGCTCCAGTCGTACCCGTAGGCCCAGCAGCTCCAATACTCCCAGTACGAGCACCTCCGGGACCCGCGGCACCAGCACCCTCAGTAGCCGAAGAACCTCCAGCACCAGCAGCACGCCTCCAGCGCCGGGCAAACCACTCGCGCAGCTCCTGTGGAGAGAGTGGCTCCCGCCGAGACGAAGCACCCGGAGAACCTCCAGGCTCAGCACCGCCAGACGCCACACAAGCAGGCCCAGCTCCCTCAGGCTCCGCACCCCCAGGCTCAGCACCTCCAGGCGTAGCACCCCCAGGCTCAGCACCCCCAGGCTCAGCACCCCCAGGCTCAGCACCCCCAGTAGTAGCACCTCCAGGCTCAGTACCCCCAGGCTCAGCACCCCCAGTAGTAGCACCCTCAGGCTCAGTACCCCCAGGCGTAGCACCCACACGCTCAGCACCCCCAGAGTCAGCACCCCCAGGCTCAGCACCCTCAGCAGCACCAGAGTCACCAGTAACCTTGACAGGCTCGACTGCGTCTACCTGGGACACACCTGAAGGGGCAGGACCCTAAGGGGGGAGGGGGTCTACCGGGGGGGGACCTGGCTCAAGGAAGAGCGGTGGTGGGGGGAGGGACGGAGTGCGGTAGGGGAAGAGGCGGTAGTAGGGGACCGACTCGTCAAACGTGACGTCCTGGGAGGACAGAACACGGCGAGAGGTGGGGTGGTAGAACTGCCACCCTGGCGCGTCAGGGGGGAAGCCAAGGAAGACGCAAGGAGCAGCACGAGGGGACAGCTTGTCCGCAGACAAGTCGCGGACAAACGCCCGAGATCCCCAGACACGGAACGCAGACGCATCGCCAACCTTCCCCGTCCACAGCAAAGCTGGGGAGGTCTCCGGCCTGGAGACCCTAGGGTGAAGGTTGATCTGATGCGCCGCGTACCGAACCGCAAATGGCCACAGAAAATGGGGGGCAGCCGCATGCATCATGGACGTACGGGCGACGTCCATGACCATGCCAATGTGGCGCTCAGCAATCCCATTTTGCTGTGGAGAGTCCGGAAGCGTGAAGGTCTGGCGGATGCCTCGTGCACGACAGTAGGCTCGCAGAAGGCCAGAGGAGAACTCTCCACCTCTGTCAGAGTGCAAACGCAGAACAGGAAAGTCCGAGCCGAAGCTCTGCCTGAGCTGGAGACGAGCTGCGCGGATCCAGTCGATCAACACCTCAGTGACATCACCCTTGCTGCGCAAGGGGAAGACTGTGGTGTAACGCGAGTAGTCGTCAACCACCAGCAGGAAGTAGCGCTCGTGACCCTGTCCACGGACGCGGGCCGGGCCCCACACGTCCATGTGAAGCGTCTGCAGCGGGGCCTCTGTCGGAGGAAACTGGGAGGAGTGAGGGGCAGCCCGCTGCCGCCTCTCGACACAGGGGACGCAGGTAGGGCCAGGCCCCGGAGGAAGGGGAGGGAGGGACCGGGGAAGACCAGAGACAAGGACACGGGAGGCCATGCCTCGGAGACGAAGCAGGGAGGGGTGACCAAGGCGGTGGTGCCAGAGGAGAGTCTCGTGAGACAGGAGGCGACACGAACAGGGGGCAGACTCAGGACCAGACCTGGACGCTGCAGCAAACACCTGACCCGACGCAGCTACCTGACCAGACGCAGTGACTGGAGGAGACGCAGTGGTCAGGGTGTACAGGCTCGACCCCGGCCGACGGGTAAACGTGGCCAGGTGTCGGCCAGTCCGAGCGTCCGTGCAGTGGGTCACCCGCTGACTCGCAGGAGTGAACTG